CCTCTCAATATTTTGAGGTTGCAGGAACCCAAAGCGGAATAAGGTTGCTACATTTGCGTGACGTAAGAGCTGCGTCAAGGGCTCTAAACAACCAATCACAGAGGACTTCTTCTGTCTCTTATACACATCTAGATGTGTATAAGAGACAGGCCCATGATGGAAAACATTGTTGAAAATGATGCATTGAGAGACCTGTGGTTCCAGCAGGATGGGGCTACAGCCCACACAGCCCAAATGTCACTCAATGTTTTGAAACTCATGTTTCCCGGACGTCTGGTGTCTCTGAGGGGTGATTTGCAGTGGCCTGCAAGGTCACCTGATTTGAGCATTTGCAATTTCTTTCTTTGGGGGCATCTAAAAGAAAGGCTGTTCAGAAGTCACCCTCACACCCTACCACAGCTAAAGGGACGGATTATTGCAGAGGTTATGGCCATGCCTCGCCATATGTGTGAACATGCTTTAGGAAACTTCTGAGAACAACTCTAACAGTGTGTTGCAGCTAACAGACACCATCTTCCTGATATTGTTTTCAAAATATAAGTATTTTAAAAGGTATGTTATGCTAATCTTAAGGAAAATAAGCTTCCTTCTTTATGTACCTCCATTACTATTATTTCACCTCAAAACTGTTCAATCAGTTCTGCCCGACTCTGTATAACCTAGCTAACACATTTAAATTGTATATTGTAATCAATATATAACAAATAGTCAAATAGTTAGACTACTTATAGCCTTATAAGAATTAGCTAAGCTGCTAGCTACGTACAATGTATTGCACACTTGATGCCTCTGTACCAAAAACATTCAATTTATTGGAACCTAATACACACTAATAGGCAACAATTTTATATACCAATTTGTCATTCATAGTACATTTATACTAATCCATGAATAACAATACCTTAATATAAATTAAAGACTGAAACTCAATATTTTTAACTATATGAAAAAATAAAAAAAAATAAAAAAAATCATGATTTTTTATAAAAAAATCAAGTGATTTAATCACATGATTTAACCATTTTGATTTAATCATTGCCAACCCTGTTCACTTCAGTCACAAAATTGGCTGGGCATGAAACCTCGTAGTTTCCCTGGTGCAACTCTAACGTAGTGCCTTAGTTACTCCACACTGTTTAGACTTTAGTTGGCGCTTCATCAAAGTTGCAGGAAACAATTATCATGATGGCAAACATTTTAATATTCTGAAAATCTGACTAAAAAATTCCCTACAAATATTTTAGAACTAAAATGGTTTAAAATTCGAACAATACAATGTAAGGACTAACAAGCAGAATTAAGTAGTGTTGTTGCTTTTGATTCCAGATTACAGCTAGACGGCTTAGCTTCTTAGGTGTAAACACGTAATCATTCACGGCAGAGCATAGTCTTGCATTGAATCTTGTTATAAAACATTCTCAATATAATTCTATCAAATATTTACATTCTGTATTAGAATAAGATAAGAAGCTATGACATGGGATTATGGGAATACTCACATTTTTTTATAACTGCCAAGTCTTATTTAGTTCCAGCTGTTGTACAAAGTACAAACGAAAGTGCGAGTCGAGAGTTGTCGCTGCACAACCACACACTGTAACAGTGTAACCCAATGAACACAACTGAAAGCATGATGCATTGCTGCTAGATCCAGATCAGCCCGCTCTTGATGCTTTAACGTTAGTTCGTATCTAGCAGCTGCCTCCTTGTTACTCCTTCCTGTGTGGTTTCCCTACAGCTACACATTACCCCAGTTCCCAAAAAAACCCTATCGAGTATCGAAGGTGCAGTGTGCAGTGATTCTTCATGGAATCTGTGAATGTGATAAAGTGAGTGTTACGTTAGCTCAACATACGCCACCACAACTCTTTACAACAGAGACATAAATTTGCATAATTTAAGTACCAATGTGTTGTAGGGAGTAGGGACACTGAATTTTAGCGAGCTGCGAGATTTCCAAATCACTAAAATTACGGGCTTGCAAGCCGCGAGAGTTCATATTCACAAAAAAATATGGTTTTTGAGCCACAAAATTTCACAAAAAAGTAGATTTCCTTTCCTGGTTGATAGTTGACACTTCACCAATTGACCTTGCTATACTAAATAGTGATAAACTGTTTGTGTAGAAAGAATAGGGTAAATGCACCATATTCCAACATTGTGGATAATTCCAACACTTCTCAACTTATTCCTTTATACTAAACTTTGTGTTACTTCCACGCATGCATAGATGGTTGAAATAGTGATGTCATACTATTGCGTGCCACATTCACA